AAGTGCTCTCATTTTTTCATGGTCCCGTCATAAACTCTGTTCAAAAGACAGCTGCCATCATGGGTCAAGTAATTGCTTTCAACTTCATATTCTTCTCCTTCAGCTGCCCGTTTCTGATGAGAACGTGCCTAAGATCTGGACTACGCCTACCGATGCAGTCGGTGGAGTAGACTTGAGCTTGCAAGCTGCCCTTCAGCGAGTGGTTGTTACACAGATCGGACTGCAACTGTCAAAGATTGTGTACGATGCCCCTCTCCGCAAGCGTGGATTTGAAAGGGAATACATACGCGATGAAACTGCTAAAAAACTCATCCAGTGCATAGACGTCTACCTGAGGCTGGAATTAATGAGGAGCCGGACCCTCTGCTGTTGACATATGGGTCAAGTGTGCCGTAAAAGCAGTGCGTAGACCAGACAGTTGAGATCATGACTCTGCACACCAGGTTGGACTTTTGACAAAAAATAATATTCTCTCGCAGTTGAAAGTAAGAACTATGTTATCAAGGAAAATACATAAGAAATTTAAGGCGGAAACGCATTTTTGGAAAAGGGATATGATCATTACGGCTACAAATGTATTTTCAGACCATGCAGTAGATAACATGGCACGCTCATTGTAAAGTGTTATAGGTCGGTTTAGACATCCTAGCCGGGCTTATAGATATCCGACAAAGGCTAGTGTTCTCTCCGTATGCCGAAGACCTCGATTCAGGGCATACATAAATTTCCTCGGTCGCATATGGTAGGCTAGAAACTCGTCAGTTTTGCTGTGCAGTAAGCAGGGAGTTCGCCATACTACCATGGGTTTGTTTGGTAGGTTATGTAAATTACTATATTTAAAGAGGGCTTTCTAGGTACCATTTACCCTGGTCAATAAATCCCAAAACATTTCATGCTGCAAACAAACAAAGCAACTATATAATTTATTCAAGTAGTTGTGATATGTAGTATAACGGGTGAGCTTACTCTTGAGAGGGATCAAGTAGGTCCCGCTTGCAGGGCAAAGAAGGCTCCCATTATTGGTTAGTTTTAAAAGACACAGACAGGAACGGATATTAAGGTAAATATTCTGTATATGTTCAGTTCATAAAAATCATTTGGAAAATACCTGGGCCCTTAGTAATATCTTTCCCGCCCAGCTGTCTTGCGACTGACGCAGTATGAGGTCATTGACGTCTTTGACGTGGACAAGGAGCCCTTGGCTCAAGATGCCATTCTGACTAGTGATTTTTCAAAAGGACATAAGTCACGTCTTTCAAAGGTTGTGAAAACATTAAACTACCCTCGTAAGAGGTGTTCTAAACCCGCTGCCAGTACCACACTCCAATAAATTTGCCTCAGTGATGATATCGCTCTGGGGATATAGAGCGCAACGAAGGAGGCATTATCACGATGATGGTACATTGGAAGATGATGTGCCCCAACCTACCCCTTCAATTGGGAATGAACGGCCTCAGGACCCAGATGAGGGGACTCGCTTACTTTCAGATGAATGGGCGCACCTAAGCCCGGACGACCCTGCAGTAAGTCCCCCGTAAATGCGTTACAATGAGCTAATATTGTAGGTCACTCCTTATAACCTCCTGCTCATTCGAGTGCTTCGGTATATGTCCTTATTATTCTTTGTCGCGAGCCTTATATGGTGGGTACTTCTTCTTATCTCACTCTTCATCAGCCCACCGGCGATGCATAGTCGCGGTTCAGGTTTCTTCGCCCTCTCCTTCACGAACCTAACAGTCGAGAATATTTTAGTCGCATTGATATTTTTTACTATTCCTTCAAAACCCATTAAAGTGTGCGGTTCAATACTTTCGGTGTTTCTAGGGGTGGATATGATTATTACACTTGCAGTTCCCCGCATCCGGCACGAAGAAGGCTGGATTGGTGTTGCATCTGTGGTATGGGCAACATTTATTGGACTATATAACACCGCGCAGAACCACTTCGTTGGATGGGGAAAAGGAGAAGAGGAGGAGCGTCTCACTGGCCGAGAAGAAACGCGCCGTACTCTGCGGGAATGGCTAGCCGTCTTTGTCTCTGCCGTGATCATGGGTATCCAGGTGATCACGGCAATTCTAATCACCGCTAGTTTGGCTCTACGATGGAGAGAACTTAGCCTAGCACCACCGGGTCATCGTTACTACGTTGATAGCCATGAATATCAAGTGCACATTGCCTGTGTCGGTAACATTACACATG